CAACAGTTTAATAGGACAGGGTGCTGCAAACCACTGGCAGAGGTTCCCCAACGAGATCTTTAGGAACTGGCTGTACTCTTTTCAGACTTTTAAGAGCACCTGAATCAAACAGGCCACACAACCTTTTTCAGCTCCCTCTACAAAAACTACAGGCACCAACCTGGCCCACAAAAAGACCACCTCACAACAAACCAAGGCCAATGCTGGCCCTCCAAATTCTCATCTCTTTCTCAAGATTTCTTCATTGCATGAGCATTTTCTGGGTTTTCAGATCACCCCTTCAGCGACACTTCCCATGTCAGAAGACTTTATTTTTAAAAACACATGAAAGAAAAATAATTAGAAAAACATGCATCTCTCTGCCTAAGTTTCTTCACAATATTTTAGTATTTCAGACAAAACCCATTCGAGCTTTTCTGAAAGATGAAGCATCTCTTTCTCAAAGGGGTCTGGACTTGCTCTTACCCACAGATTTCATATCTAAGATGTGGCCTATGTGTAGCTTCCAGTTTTATCATTACTTCAGTCTTAATGCTAATGCAAGCCTTTCAACAAGGACAGACACTTAAAACCAGGATTTGTCCACTTTCTGTAAAATTCTCACAACAGTAGTGTCATGATGGAACTATTCATCCAGCTGCAATACCAATTATTCCCCATTCCCAGTGAGGATCTGAGAGAAGTTAGGCTTTTGAAATGAGAGAGCAGGCAGACAATTCTAGAGGTAGTATTTAGTAGTGGTCAAACAGAGCCATGGAATGATACAGATTTCTCTGAAATTCCAACACAGACCCTGTCAAACTCATCTCATTTGATCAGATTCATCAGCTTTGGTAGATAAAAGTAATGGTGCAGATTCTGGAAGGGTGTTTGACACCATCCCACATGGCATTCTTACACAACTGGTACTACAGAAAGTGAGTAGTGAGCCAAGTGCAGAAAAATACTTCTGTGTGTGTTAGTCAATGAAGTCATTACAGGATAGATGCACTCTACTGGGGGTTTACCATTAGTGCTTATTAACTGCCTTTCCACCCCACTGGTGATAATGATGACCACTGATAAGATCTGCTCATAAAACACTGGCAGGCAGGGACATACAGAGGACAACGGTGTCATGCTGAGTGACCTGAACTGCTTCAGAAGATAACTCTAGTCCAACATTCCTACATTTGGTTAATATGGTTACAGAGGCCAGCTACTCATCAGTCAGGGCTCTAGGCTCCTGCTGCATGTCAACGTAACCAAATTGGTTCAATGGCCTACAGTGAAAGTTCCTGACTCAGCTCTTTCATGCAGAGCTCAGGAAGGAGTGAAAACCCATCACTTCCTAATCCAGAGAACTGCTGCCAGAGCCACGCTGCATTCTGGAGGAACTCTGGGAAAAAAGGCTTATTTTCTGTCTTCCTCGCCAATATTTTGTTTTTCCCTCTTCCTCAAAATAAATCATCAGGGTTATGGCACATTCAGGTACCATCCTAACTCAAGCACCATTTAATAACAGAGTATGTGTTGACATCTATTTGAAATGAGCTGTTCATAGGAATCAGATAAAATACAAATACTTTTTCCTGTAGCCTCAGCCTTAGGCTTTTGGAGATTTTTGTAGGTAATTACCAGTTCACATTCTCTCTTCCCCCTGTTTCGGGACACAATGTAAGCCAGCTCAGCTCAAACCATCAGTGTTTCAAAGAAAACAGGTCTTCCCCAACCTGATAAAGGTACACTTTTTCCCAAATCATATTAGGATCTGTAGTCGCACTGTCTTTTAAGTGTTTGTCTTACTCTTCCAGGGTATCAGAGCTTCAAAGGTAGGAAGAAAAATAACATCTATAACACTCCTAAATTCTCATGCGTCTTGGAATGAACTTTGTATTTCAAAGTTACTGAAGTGTCTTTAAAACAAGTAGTTGTCCCTGCTGAGATTTAACAATATTAAATAATAAATATATAAAGATTAAGCAAGAGGAATCAAAAGTTTCAGACAAGCTTTCATAACACCAGATGACATTGGAAAGTTACATTCTGCAGTGGACAGAACAGTCAGCTATTACGAAAATTATCTTAACATATTAATTTGTTTCTGTCAAACTTGGTGGCACTGAATATTCTCTAACCTCAAAGTCTCTAATTGTGAAAATTTGTCACAACCATCTTTAAAACTTATAATCTCTGAAAATATTTTATTCAATTGCAGTTAAGCAATTTTTTTTTTTTACTGAGTATATTCAGAAATCTTTTTGAGTACTATGTAAAAGGAAAATAATTGCAATAGGACTACTGACAGGCATTGAAAATTAGGAAAACACAAACTTAATTCAACAAGTTAAAAGAAAACCTACTGGAATTTTTAAAAAGGTTTTAAATTGACAATTTGGGCCATACCTAAAAAAGGGCAGATTTGTTCCGTTCTTGGGAAAAACTCATAGGTTGTTTTTGATAGAACAGAACTCGTACACAATTCTAGGAAGTCATAGCTCAGTGAGAGCAAACTCCAAGTAAGCCATACAGGAAAGCGATTCCCTTCTCACTGGAGTAACCTCTTTTAGAGCAAGAGTAGCTTTCTTTGGTTTAGGATAAACTTCGAAGTGACAAACTTGATTAAAGTTACCTGTATTCCAGAATTAAAAGTCCCTGCAGAGCTGTAGCTGTATCTGCTTAAATTCTCACTCAGTCTCACTCCACTATGTATTTTACTCATCATCATTAGGGTCTGTGTAACACTTGCTTATACTGAATATACAGAAAGACTGTGCCCCAACATTTGCCAACTAGTTTAAATCCACCCATCTGTATCTACTTATAAATATGTCTAATTTAATAAAAATCAGAATTATTACAAACTCCTTTATCTATCCGTTACTAGCCTTCCAAGTCTGAGGTCACCCATTTCCAGAAGAGCGTGACACAAAGCTGTCATATAGATTCTACTCCCTTTCAACACACGTAAAATATGGAGAACAGCAGAAGCATTAGATGAACTCTAAAGTCTCTTTAGAAATGAATCAAAAGATACTGACCATGCCATAGGTTAACTTCTGATTAATATTTGGAAGTAATTTAAAAATCATAAGGTTTTTTTTAAAAAAATGCACATTCTGAAATGGTAGAAACTGGTTCCAGGGAGATCAGTTTCTATGTCACAGGAAAAAGGAATTAAAATTATGAGTCAAACACTTTGCTTCCTCATTTCTTAGGCATGGTTCTTAATGAATAATAACAAGGCCAAATGCTTACAATTTGTTAACATGTACTCATCATAAACAAGTTCAGTTAACCAGCACAGCATTTCACAGCCTGCAGCTGCAGGGCTGGCGAACTGAAGACAGACTCCAGTTCACTGGCAGAAACCATTCCACCCACTGTTGGTTGGCTAGTTCCATGACAGCCATCCAGCCAGGTTCTCCTGTGCACACCACAGCAGCCCGTGCAAAGCTCATCACCCAACACCACTAAATGAGCTTCCCCACATGCAAAGAAAGAGAATTCCATTTCCTGCTTCCAGCCAACATCAGCCCTACACATCTAACAAGTAATAAGCAAACATTCAAATTTTAGTCAGTCATTAAAAAAAACACAACAACAAAACAACAACTTTAGGCTTCTCAGTGACAAAAATTCCAAATATTTATTTCATAAACACCTGCAAAACTTATTACCTGGTGTCTGCACAACTCTAGCAGAGTGACACTTTACACTTCCCTAGCAAAGAACATGAATCCATCACAGCTGTCTTTTGGGCACGCTGGATCACCTTGCAGAAATAGATACAAAAATTCTGCTTAGAGAGGCCAAATACCATCTCCAACCTTCAACTTTCTTTTTCATTTCAGGCAGCCGTTGTGTCTGCTGAGATAGGACCACAAAGTGTCACACTGTGACAGTCGACAACCGGTGATTGTTAACAGTAACTGGGAAGACAAGAGGTCAGTATAAAGCTGAACTGCATTTTTTTTCTCCAAAAGCTTAAAAAGAGAGTTCTTGCTACCAAAATTACGTATATCCGACTTAAAATAGGCAGCTATTATAAGAAGAATTTGCAAACATTAACAACTTAAGAGTAGGCTTATTGCAAAACTTCTTGAACACTACATACGGAGCCCTCAAAACGCTACACCGACCATGTGTTGCCTGGAAAGCCCTCTCCCTCAATTACTACTGAAACCAGTGCCGTGATTTGGAGCTAAATGAGTGTTGTGCCTTCCCTGGAGTTCCTGCTGCCGCCCACGCTACCAACAGCAAGCCCCTGAGCACATGCAGGCTCCAGCTTGCATAAACCAGACATCAGCAGTGTTATTTTAACTTAATCTATTGACCCACAGTGCGACAGGAAGATCTTAAGATTTTGCTGAATGAAGGTGCTGTAAAGATCAGAGATTATCAGTTCCTGCTAATTATTAGCACATTTACAGCTATAAAAACATCTGAAAGTGCACGTACTCCTCAAAACAGAAATCATCATTCTAGTTTACAGGTAACGAAACTAAAAGACAACGTTAAAGAAAGGCTAAATCTACAAATTGACTCAAGCTGCTAAGTGACTCAAAGCAAAGAAGGATCACCAAAAAGCCCTTTAGTTCCTGGCTCTCCACAAGATTCTCAGTCAGTAAAACGAAACGCCTGTAAAAACACCGGATGCCTAGCCAAACTTAGTGCAAAGCACTCACCCTTCAAGAGGTGAGTTGAGAAAACTTTTGCAAGAACAAAATACATATTGTTAAAGCGGAATTTAACACGTACCGAGCCAACTATTCACAAAGTCAGCAGCACTTCCACCCAGAACACAGAATCAGGGGAACAGTGTTTGTTACTAGAAAGAGGGCCGGGAGGGGTGTGTGTGTGTGACGTGGGGGGTACCAAATTAAAAAGGCATGAATTTCACATTTTCCCAAACAGACTCCGCCACCTCCCCTCCCAAAACAAAACCAATCCACAGCCTTGCACCCCGGGGCTGGGGAAGCCAGGAGGAGAACGAACCAGAGCGGGCAGGTGAGCCTTACCTGCCAGCGGCCGTGGCTGAGCAGCAGGAGCGCCAGGGGGATGGCGGTGCCCGACATGGCGTGGGTGGAGGGCATGCTGTACTCGGAGTTGTAGAAGACTTCCAGCTTCACCACGGGCGGCGAGGCGGGCCGCGGCCAGCGGATGACATCCTTGGTGCACTGCCCCAGGTACATCACCCACACCCAGATGATGATCAGCCTCCGCCCCAGCCAGGCGTCCAAGTTCCAGATACAGAAGGGGAAGAAGAGGATGTAGAAGAGCTCGTTGCCGAGCTCCGTTCCTAGGCTGAAGAGGTAGTAGAGGAAGCGGCTGCGGGTGGAGAACTCCTGGCTGCCGTCCTCCTCCGTCAGGGAGTTGCGGCGCGGCCTCCTCCACCGCTGCGCGGGGCGC